TTAAGCTTTATTCCGGCAGAGTTGAAACATATGAGGGGGGGGGGGGAACTTTATAGGGGGTCGTTTTTATATTTTATGGAATATATATGTTAATTACATTTGGAGAAGAAAATTATTCAAATAAAAGTTACTTCTAATTTTTCTAAAATGGTCTACTTCGAGAAATTTAACAAAAGGTGCAAAATTCTGATATTAAGAAAATTAATTTAAACTAAAAGTTGTTTGCGATATCGATCTCTATAATTTTTATTTTATAAATAATTTCATTAAAATGGACCGTAATGGAAAAATTGGAGGAAAAGTGTAAAATTTAAATTTTTCAGTATTTTCCTTGGCAATGAATATACAGGATGATTCATTACTAATTGGAAATATTTCAACTATAGAATCCTGAGCTCAAATGATGAAGATTTAACTCAAATCACCTAGATAAAATGTGTCTTCATTCTGAGTTACAGAGTGTCTTGTTTAAAAATTTAAAAATTATTTCTGTCCCGTACTTTAAAATTATTTGACATATTATTGTCATATTTGGTGGGAAGTGTAGATACTATACACCCTACTAAATTATGTTAAATAAACGTTTCTGGCTACCATCAGAGGCGTACGACAGGGGCAAGTGACTTGTTAATCCTTTCCAAATTCTACGGCACTGGCGGAATTGCAATTTTATTACAATTTTTCGATTCTCCAATACTTTCTACGTAAAGGTCATACTCTTTCTTCATAACGATAAAGTTATTATCTTTCGAGATATTTTAAGTAAAACATGAAGCTGCACAAGTATTTTGTTTTACATTAATTGAGTCAACTTTAAATTATAATTTAAAGTTACAATATTAATTATTATTGCAAACGGTTTGTATTGCCGAGTGGCACAATTTTTTGTATTTTTGTTTCTTTTAATTGAACCAGTAATTAAATCATACAGCCCATTTATTTCAGAGAGTGATTAACCACGTTAATATGGATTAAACAATTAAAAACAAATAATCTAAATAAAGGAACAATTTTAATAAGAAGAAAATATCAAAAAACACAAAGAACAATACTTAATAAACTTTTTATAATAAATGTTCAATAATTCTATTCATTCTTTCGCTAAACGATTGTCTAACTTTGACAAATTTGTTTGGCTGATTGGCAATAAAATTAATGGAATTTAAAATTTGCTGCCATAGTTCCTGTCGAGTATTTATTGCTTGGGAATATACTAGTGATTTCATATGACCCCAGAAATAGAAATCTAAGGGATTACAATCGGGACTTCGAGGCGGCCACGTAAATTCATTACATCTGCCAATCCAACGATGAGGAAATTGATCGAGATAGTTCCGCACTATTAAAGGATAATGAGGTGGTACTCCATCCTGCATGAACTATATGTCTCTTCTTCTTTTAATCTACAGTTCCTGTAGTTTGTAAAAACTGTAAATACGAGTTAGCATTCAAATTTTCTGGTAATTCATAAGGACCCAACAAACTATCTCCAAATATACCACACCATACAATTATCTTAAATTCGTATTGAAAATGTGATTCTCGGAATAGATGGGGATTTTCAATATCCCAATTGTGACCGTTTCCAGAGTTGAAATTTCCACTACGTGTAAATGTGGCCTCGTCAGTAAAAATAATTTTTTCAACAAAATTACGATTTTAATATTTTTTATCATCCAATGAGCAAAATTCATTTGTAAAGGATAATCTCTAGGCAATAAATTCTGTACCGGTGTAAAGTGGTAAGGTCGTAAATGTTTTTTCAGTATTCGAAAAACTGAGGACTGGCTTACTCCAGCCGTTGGTGCTAAACGCCGAGTACTTAGTTCAGGATTATCAGCAACTCTCACTAAAATATCATCCTCCTGATCCATAGTTAATATTTTCGGTTGTCTCATACCACTGTTACGCCTAAATTGTCCAGTTTCTACTAATCGACTAAAAATATTACTGAACGTCTGGCGATTGGGATGAACTCTGTTTGGATAGATTTATTGATATCTTCAAGCAGCAGCAAGAGAGGAATAATTTTCGTTTACATAAACACAGAGAATGTCTCGTAAGTGTCAGTAACAACTAACAGCAATGGCAGTATCCTACTAGATCGAAACAATTAAGTCAGACCAGAGCCAACTACACAAAACTTAAGCTTATTTTGAATATATCGTGCTATGAAAGCATGTATCCTGCCAAATATGACAATATTACGTCAAATAGTTTTAAAGTACTGGACACAAATAATTTTTAAATAAAACACTGTGTAATTCAAATAGGAGACACATTTTTGTTAATACGGATTAAAGTTTCATTTGCAATCCAATGTCCCAAAACACCGACATAATTATTAATACACATTAAAATCAAAATAATTGTACAGCTTCATGTTTAACTTAAAATATCTCGAAAAATAATAACTTTATCGCTATGAAGAAAATGTACAATATTTACGTAGAAAGTATAGGAGAATCGAAAAATTATAATAAAATTGCAATTCCGCCAGTGACGTAGAATTTGGGAAGGATTAACCAGTCACTTGCCCCTGTCGTACGGCTCTGATGGTAGCCAGAAACGTTTATTAAACATAATTTAGTAGGGTCTATAGTATCTACACTTCCCGCCAAATATGACAATAATACGTCAAATAGTTTTAAAGTACTGGACAGAAATAATTTTTAAATTTTTAAACAAAACACCCTGTAATTGAGACACATTATATTTAGGTGATTTGGGTTAGATCTTCATAATTTGAGCTCAGGATTCTATAGTTGAAATATTTCCAATTAGTAATGAATCACCCTGTATATAAAAAAATGATTCAAGTTAGATGTATGTGGAAAATGTATATATTTAGTTTATCCTCTAACCATTTAGGAGATGCTACAATAGGTTGTACAAAATATCCGGAAAAGGCCTGTAATAACTAGATAAGAAAGTCATGTGTTAAACACATTGGAATTTTTTTTTTTCGTATTTCCAATAATCAAACAGTTATCGATTAATTACGCACTGATGGGACACCCGGTATATGTGTTATTGGCTAACATGTTAGTATCGTTGGATAGGTAACATTATAAGGATTTTATGCTAGAATAATATACACGGTGTTGCACTTATAAAATTGAGTAAATTCAACTTAAATTTAGCCATATTTAAGACATGTTTCAAAACACTGTATAAAATAAACCAGTTCAATCACCATTATTCGTTAGCTTAGTATCTTATAAGTTCGTATTTTACACAATTTTGAAATCAATGTAAACGTACCTAAATTATAATAATTTAATCTGGGATCTGCATCATTCTCTATTTTTAGAAAAAAATTAATTGCTTGGCAATACTGTAATATTTTTCAAAAACATTTTATAATTGAATACAGTATTACCAAACCATTCTAAAAATAAAATAAAATACAGGGTGTTTTATTTAAAAAACATAATTTTTTTATTTGGCAGGCAAATACGCAACATCCTGTATATCCAAAAATATTTTTAAAATTTGTATTTTTTAAGTTCATATAACTTATATTTGAAACTTTGTTGCGTGTCTATAACACAAATTGAAATATTGAACAATTTCGCACTAATGGAACACCCTGTATACACGAGTATATCGTCATGGTTTCGTCATTTGGCATATGTTCTTAAGTTTTCCGTCCTGTATCGTTGGCGTTGACGTTATGGTTGTGACGGCGCTGGTAGTGGGATTTTGAAAATTAATAGAAATCTCATACATTTTGGGAAGATTATCAAAGGGTTTTGAATTATCAGTCGGGAAATTAAAAAAAAAAATAGAAAATATTATGTTGAAGTTAAGATATACTGATATTAAAGTTGAAGGTTTTATATCGTGGAGATGAAAAACAAAGAATAAAAAATAAATTGAAGATAAATGTGAATAGAATAGCAGGAAAGAAGTAGAGTTCAGCATAAGGAGGAGTAAGAGGAGAAAGTATAGGAAAATGCAAGAGGAGACCAGGTAGGAGAACAGGAGATATAGAAAGTCTGGAGTTAGAGCTGAAAGAAGAACCGGGAGCAAGAAGAAAGAAGTGAAGCGAAGTGAAATATTTAAATTTTTTTCAAATTCAAAAATGTAATATTTTAAGTTATTTTTTGAATTGTTTGTAGGAAACCAAAGGAGATACAATCCTAAAAGCTCTAGGATATTGGAATGGTTTAACCTTTTCGAGGTGGAACCATTATAATAGGAATCAGAAGTACTGAGTACTCTAAAATGTAAAGTACTCGAAATTTTTCTAGTATGTGTCCCATCAGGATAAAAGTACTTACGAGTACCAATTACCCAGTACTGCCCAGTATCTGCAGCCATGAATAATAAGAAACATCAAGCATCTTTCAGGAACATTCAAAAAAAGTTCAAGGCCCAAGCAACATCAACACAATGTTGCTATCGGTGTGGATGTAGCTTAAGTCCCATTAAATATTAAAACAAAATCGGTGACCCAGTTTTGACTCAAATATTTACCTCCCATAGTAACATAAAAGGCAATAATCTTAATAATAATAAGTCAATTTTTAGAAATTTCCTGCAACATGTACCTAGATAGATAAATACAAATGAAGAAATAAAAAACGTTTCAAGTATTCGCTTCATGCCATAAATCTAATTCTCGCTACAAATTTAAATATCCAATTTATCACATATTCTACTACCGGCTCAGATATAAAAAATACCAGACAGAAACAGAAAGTGAAGAATTCTATGTTCACCCCCATCATCTACATGACATGTCGGCATCGCAACCACAGGTAAATTTCTACGATTCGTTTGATGGTTGAGGGTACCCCTATATGGGTCAGCGGTATAAAACATCAACGTGACTCTTCAACTCTTATTTGAAACCTCGAACCACGGTACGACACGGTCACTCACAATAATCCTTCGTTTTTCTTTTTCCCAATCTTCATCCGATGCATGTGCTTTCACTCCGGCTGTAAAGTAAATGATGATAAAGTGTGTGTGCATGCACACGTTTCTTGTTTCTCATATCTTAGAATTTTAACTGTTGCAGTCTAATGTTCAAGTGATACGAATTGTTGGATGCGGTGATAGAGTTTAGGCAGTGTAGCAGTTAAAAGTGGTTTTCTTTGTTGGGTTTTTTGACAATTTGGATGGCCAGTGTAAGTATTTACTTTTGAAATATTTTTCGCAAATTTTTAAATCTTTATAACAATTTTCGTTTAGAATATTTAATGTAAAATTTTAATATATTAAGAAGAAGAAGTAACCCATTTTTTGGGGTAATATTAACTTGATATTTTCGTTCTAATACAGCTAAAGTTTCGCGAAATTCATTACCTTCAAATCATTGTATTATTTATTATTTAGTTGACATTTTTGACCTAAAATGTATCTACATTAAAATTATAGATAAATAAATAAACGTCAAAAATACTTTTTTAAAACATTTTTGGCTCTTTAAGAACTGTTTCGCTTTCTGATACAATTTCGGTACAGGATGGCGAAAATTTATTTAAACACAATAGTTAACCATTAATAGATACAAAGTTGTTTAAATGGAAAAAAAGATACGTATTTTCAAAAAAAAATGTATTGTCTACTTTAAAATTAAAATATCTGGTTCTGTTTCCGAGATATTTGGGCAAACCCGAAATTGGAGATTTTTGTTTTATTTAAATTTTACTAAGAATTTTTGCAAAAAGTCAAATGCATGTGTAGCCAAATTTTTAAATTGTTTCGTCTTTAAAGGAACTCCTTCAACTAATTTTTTTGGTACTGTAATATTTTATCACACATTTGTAATCACCATTTTTTCTCTATTCAACCATGTATCACACTAAATATGTTTACTACAATTAACTGTACTCAGGAATTTTTTCACTAAATATTTATAAATCTTTTGAATACCAAAAGTTAGAACAACTAAGCGTATTGAACCATTTATTATTTTCGGGGGATACAAACTCGGCACCACATGTCTCAGGTATAAGAAATAAAGATAGCTCGGCACATAGATTAAAAGATTCCCTTTTAAAATGTTTAAACTCGGCACATGAATAATAATAATAATACCTCCATCTGCTTGCCAGAAATAGACTGATGTAATATTTAAAACAAAATTTATTAATTTAAAATGTACATAGTAGATTCATAAAAAGAACATATAACAAATTAATTATTTACAAACATAATAATAGTGCGATATTATTTTAACATATTGTAGTTTGGACAATTTATTAGTTTTATATTCAATAATTTTAGAATTAACAAAATTATGACGTTTCTTAGTGGCTATATTTTTAAATTCGTGAATTTTGTTAACACTATTGCATTTAATATATATTTCTGTTTGTATTTTAAGAAGTACGTCTACAAAAATAAACATGGATGCAATAAAATGGGAATGAAAAAATTCGCAAGCATTTGTTGTTTTATTTAATGCAGCAGAGGCATCAGCCCATATATGTGGTGGAAATTTCGAATTATCTGTCAAATAATTTTCATGAAGGTAATCAGAAAATGTTTCAAGTCTTTCATCTACTGGTTTAATTTCGTAGAGCTCAAAAAATAAAAATCATTAACGTCCTTTGGTTCCAAAATGAAAGACCAAAACAATAATGGAGCCACTTTCCAATCTCAGAAATTTTGTCTTAGTATTCTTTTGGTAAACCTAGATTTGAATTGGTATATGCTTGAGTTAAGTGGAATCGACACGTAATTTTAGCATTTAGATACATTTCTAACATTGCATTATGAATAGATATCTCAAAATCCACTACTATTTCTTCTGGTACAAATTTTATTTTTATATAATCACAATACTCTTTAATTTTTGATATGCAAAACTTCTATATTTTTTCACTTTTGTCTTTTAATAAACAGAAAACTAACGGTATATAATGGACATTAAAAAAAAACATGTATTGTTATCATTTGTTTAAAATATTTGGTGTTGTAAGAATATGTACTGTCCATATAAATACTTTTTGATTCACATAAAAACTATAAATTACTTTTACAGCTAAATATCACTAAATTTTCAAATAAATCATTAACAATTAGGAAGTCTTCATTTCTGTTGGTTTTTGGTTGAAGTTCATTGAAAGCTTTGTGAACCTCCGATAGTGATTTTGGGCAAATCTGGCAACAAGTTTCGACGTGCAGTGTAAATGTTTCTTCTAGCACATTTCAGATCAGGTATTTTCAAATTGTTTAAAGACACATCATTTTTAGCTAGCTCCATTCTAATCATTTTGGAAGGTTTTTCTGTTATACCATTTTCGGCTTTTCTCTTCAAACAATGACTTAAAACTTGTCTTTGCAACACATTTGTTAGTTCTGGTTCTTAATTATGATTTACACTCAGGTTTGTTATAACTCGACTTTTTGACTCACCTAAAGTATGAAAATTTGCTTTACATTTAACTTTGATTTACCTCCACTTAGTTTCTCCGGAAGCTAATTTTCAGTTGTATTCTTTAAACTTATAATTCTCGTAAACTAAGAGACACTTTTTTAAAATTATGAATAGATATTGACCATCAACTTTACACTATAAAAACTGATATACGAAACAAGGGTCCTTATATTATTACCTGTTACAGGTACAATTAGACAAGTAGTTAAAAAGGTATCATTTAATAGTTTCCAGCCTTAGGTACCTGCAACAACTTTGTGCCGAGTTTGTAGTTATAAAAGTATAATTTAAAATGCATTAGGATTAAAAGATTACGATGTGCCGAGTTTCATGCCGCCCAATATTTTAAATGATGGAAGGAAACTCAAAGAATGTACCACAATAATAATAAAAAACTTTTTTTGGTATCTCGTTTGGGTCAATTTAAACATCATCAGGCAATAAAAATCTAAAAAAATCAAAATTAAAGAGGAAGCTGTGCACAATGTGCACATTAATGTTAAAGATAAAGGGATACTTCTAGGGACGGGCACTCAGTTCGTCAGTGATTTGTCATTATTCCTTATCCCTTCACCTTCATCTTTACCATTAATGTGTTCAGCTGAGCTGCTTATCACCTTTTTTAGTTTTTAATTTTTTTTATATATTTTTTAATACCAATAAAAGTGATTACTATTGTGGTACACACTATAAGTTAGCTTTCTCATTAACGAAATCTACCACATTTAGTTCCACAGGCCACAACATCTGTGTAACTAATTTTCCTAAGGTAATTTTTACGGGATGTGTGTAACATTATTAAATACATAAATCTAATTTAAAGTATGGAAACAAACAACTATTAAATTATAAGATATTAATATAGGTAGAAATTATATTGCACCAAAAATTCATTGTGAATTGTTTTAGTTCTGTAAAAACTTCTCAAAACATTCAAAACATTTTAAAATTAATTATTTTATAGTAATTTTTTTGGTTGTGATTCGAATCATTTAGAGTGTAATTATTAAATGGTTTTAAGCTTCTGTGGCTAAATTCTGCAATATTATCAGAAATTTCGTCTTTGAGAAATTCCTATAAAAATGAATTATCGGAATCAAATCTGGGCACCGTGGAAACCAGTATCTTTATCCATTTGTTCCTAATCACTTCTTGAAAATCTGTTCCTATATCTTACATATGTTATATAATTTTCTTCGCAAACTTGTTGTTCCACTTTCCTTTGTGCTATTTCAAAATTTTGATCTAAACTTTGCTCAAAAGCTACGTTGTTCAAGGTGGTTTAAAAAATTAAGAGCAAACCGGAACTCTCGCGAAGGCAAAAATGTTGTAAGGATTTTCTAATATAAAATTGTATTTATATGCATGTCACTGGGAATACTTCGTATTATGTGTCTTAAGCATAATATTAAAAGTTTTAAATGTTTGCAACGATAAGGCAGCACTCTACAGATAAGTTTAATAAGAAAAAAAGGTGGGAAATCCTCAAATTTAAAAACTATTAGATATTTATTAAAACAAAAAGCAGCAAATTTTCATAGATTTAATAAAGAATGGCGCGTAAATGTTTTTACTTTAATTCCTTTTAAAATTTTTCATAACAAATACTTTTTGAAGATTTACAAAAACTTCATGGTATTGTTTTTGTTGGTATTTCCTGAAAATTTTACAAAAATCGTACTAAAAATGAAGGTTTAGAAGGAATTATAAATTTTCAAGATTTTCGGTTTGCTCTTAAGGGTGAAAATAAAAAGGACCGTACTTACAAAAATAGTAGTTTGTGCAACAATCCACCGGAGTTGTACAGTATATTTTTTCTACGACCAATTAACAAAAATCTACACATTTAAAAAATTATTTTGGGTTATTAGGACAAAATAATTAATTTTTAAAAATAATTTTTGAATTTTACTAATTTATAAACTAAACATAAAAAAAAATTCGTCTCGAGCCCAGATTGGAACCCGAGCTATTCGCATGAAAGGCAGATGCTCTGTCCGTAGCTCCACGGCGGCCACGTTTATGATTTAAGTTTTAATACTCGTAGTTAAATTAGTTTCATATAGTGTGATTTTTTTTTTATTTGGTGTCATCGGCATCGACTGCTAAGGTCATTAGCCTCGTGTTCTGTGTAGGCTTTGTTACTGTTTCCCAGCGCCATTTTAGGAACAGCACTGTTAATTAGAACCCAACAGTGAATGGTCGAGTGGGGAATCCTACCAAGGCATCAGAATTAATTTTAAATAATTAAATTAAATAAAAAAATCCCGGCCAACGGTGGGATTCGAACCTGGGACCCTTGAATCCACAGGCAGAAACTCTACCACTGAGCCACCCACCCCGTCATATAGTGTGATTAAATTTTTTTTTAATGTGAACCTAATAAAAATGCTATTATTTATCCATTCTACACAAAAAAAAATCATTTAAATGTATATTTAATCTCAATAACTAAAAAATATACTGACAATTAGTTTGACAGAATAGTCACTTATTTAAAATTTTAAAAATAATAGTTGTTGGGTGATATGGGGGGATATGAAATGTGATTGGTGGATTTAATTTTTTTGCAGTTTTCTCACTACCTAGAATGGATATGAAATATATTCCTTTACTAGAACGCATACATTTTTGTTTTCTAATTTGTGCGTAGATAAGCTAATATCCATGTGGGTGTAGAAAAAAAATTGATTGAATAGAGAAAAATTAAAATTTAAAATATTTAGCCTATATGTTAAGCAG